TAATATGTGCAACTTAATGTGTCTGGACTTAAGCAAACACCCATGGTACCATCACACAATCACGGCAACAGACAGAGCCAACACCTTCCAGAATTTTCTTGTCATGCCTTTTTATCTCCGTATGTACTTGTTTGACTGTGATTATTTCCTGGGCATTGTTTCTGTAGAGTGTGCATACAGAGCTGCCATGACGTTCTCTTCCTCCAAAAAGGGTTTTTTAAATTGCTTTTAAGGCTACTAGCTGTCTGGGAGCACCTGAATTCAAGTTCAGGTCTTGAGATTTTTCTGGACCACCAAGATGAATCACAGTGAAACTACAGTCTGTTCAAGAAATATATATATATATATATATATATATATATATATATATAGTCAAAAAAAAAATATATATATGGTCTAACTTAATTTAGCTATCTTCTTTGGGAGAGTTAGTAGAAATTGGTTTGCCATTAGCAGAGGCAAAAGTCCTCAGGAAAGGTCTAAATACTTCTGCATAAGTTGGCATTAGAACATACATAAATAGGGACAATAGGTTTTACAGTACAGTTCACCCTGAACAACACTGGGGTTAGGGTTAGGGGAGTCCCCCCCACCCACCACCACACTGCCCCGCCCCCTGCACCTCTGTGCTCAGTTGAAAATCCTTGTATAATTTTTGACTCCCTCAAAACTTAACTATTAATAGCCTCCTGTTGACCAGAAGCCTTCCCAATAACACAGTTAATACACATTTTGTACATTATGTGTATTAGATGCTATATTCTTAAAATAAAGCTAGAGAAAAGAAAATGTCATTAAGAAAATCATAAGAGAAAATACATGAACAATTCTATACTGCATTTATTTAAAAAAAAATCCTCATATAAGCAGACCCGCATAGTTCAAACCTGTGTGTTCAAGGTCAACTGTAGTTACATTCTGCAGTTGTCCCAAGGACCACTTGACATATCAGAAAGCAGCACTTCTTAAATTTTAATTGGCATCTGAATCACCTGAGAATCTGGTTAAATGCAGATTCTGATGCTGTAGATCTGGGATCTGGGGTGAGGCACATAGTCTGCAAGCTAAGAAGCTCCTGCTAGTTCTGAGTAACAAAACCCTACCCTCATCTGGTCCTGAGCCCCTAATCTGCCCAGGGGAGACTGGGTTGACCCTGGAAGCTGTGTTCTTTACAATGTTTGCCAGATCACTTTCTTCCCAGCTTATGAGGAACAGGCAAGAGGTTTTAAGTCTGATTTCAGCTATCATATAAAATGCAAGAGATCTCTTGGTCTGTAACTGAGCTACTTAGAACATCCGATCCGGCCCAACTACCTCATTTAACAAAAAGGGAAACTAAAGGAACTCATAAGTTTCGTAACTTTGATTCTATGACCCACAATCAATGGCTAAGCTCGCTGGGTTTCCGGTGTGACACTCTGTTACACTAAACAGTCTCTCTATTCCAGAAATCCTTAGCACACTTACGTTTCTTTTGGAAAACAGATTGCAAGTAAGAGTTACATGTGTTGTCGGGATCCAGTATCTTTCCGGAACCTGAACCAAAAGTAAGAATAGGGGTTGAGAGGCAGGATGCTGACTCAGTACTACATGGCTTAGTCCTCTGGGATGGGAGTTGGATGATAAATAAATATGTCAAGTAAACAAATAAATGGCCTCTGCTAGCCTCTAGGACCTAATATGGTGGCAGATCATTGTTAAGCCTCTACTGACATCATGGGGAAAGAAGTATCAAACAAGGGATCATAGCAGAGCATACCGAAAAGCAAGACAGTGTGGGGACAGGTGACGGATGGTACTATACACATGTGAAAACACTTAATTCTGACATTCAGAAGGCTGCTTTATTTGTTTTGTTTTTAAAGATTTTATTTTTTAGGGGCGCCTGGGTGGCTCAGTCGTTAAGTGCCTGCCTTCAGCTCAGATCATGATCCCGGGGTCCTGGGATCGAGCCCCGCATCAGGCTCCCTGCTCCGCAGGAAGCCTGCTTCTCCCTCTCCCACTCCTGCTGCTTGTGTTCCCTCTCTCGCTGTGTCTCTCTCTGTCAAATAAATAAATAAAATCTTTAAAAAAAATTTTATTTTTTTATTTGAGAGAGAGTGAGAGCACAGAGGGAGAGGGAGAAGCAGACTCCCCGCTGAGCAGGGAGCCCGATGCGGGGCTCCATCCCAGGACCCCGGAATCATGATCTGAGTTGAAGGCAGACGCTTAACCGACGGAGCCACCCAGGTGCCCTCAGAAGCCTGCTTTGTTTTTGTGTGTGTGTGTGTGTGTGGGTTTTTTTAAGATTTTATTTATTTGACAGAGAGAGACACAGTGAGAGAGGGAACACAAGCAGGGGGAGTGGGAGAGGGAGAAGCAGGCTTCCCGCCGAGCAGGGAGCCGGATGTGGGACTCGGTCCCAGGACTCTGAGATCATGACCTGAGCCGAAGGCAGAAGCTTAACAACTGAGCTACCCAGGCGCCCGGAAGCCTACTTTGTGATACCAGACGGACTTAGCACAGGATGTCTTCCCAGACTTGGAATGGTGACTCTTGACTCCATTCCCTGTTGTCTCAGAGGTTTGCTCTAAAAGCCACGGAGATCGTCACAAACACAGTACACATAAAGGCAACATTCGAAGCCATCACCTGACGTTTAGCCTTTATCCCCCACACAAGTAGCCAGATCGCAGCCAGATAAATCAGGGAAGAAAGCACTTAGGGTCACATGTCACCACTAATTTGGAGGTGGGCAGATAAGTAAAATATCAGGACCTACCACCTTTGGGAAACGTAAGCATTCATTCCTACTTAGGAATTGGAAACAGAAAGGAAATGCGACTCAGGTTGAAGGGTGAGCAGGATACGCCATCCCAAAATATGCCACTCTGGCATACTGATTATTTTGAACCGAAGGTACCTGGGAAGAAGCCGACAGAAGCAAAGCTCTCTGCCCTCCCCCATTTGCCTAAAAGCAGGACATAAATTTGTCAAGTTGTCCCCTCTCCCCTCTGTTCCAGGACAGGCAGAAGTTAGGGAGGCAGCTCTGGTCTCTTAGCAGCCTAGACATGGCCCCAGAACTTACATGATAAACCTTCCCAACCAGCCCCTTGTATTGTTAGTTACCTTCCCCACAATTCGCTCCCCAGAAACTAAACTCAAAGTCTCCGTCTTGTCACTTCTCGACAAAGTTACTACTCTTTGGGGCGCCTGGGTGGCTCAGATGGTTAAGCGTCTGCCTTCGGCTCAGGTCATGATCCCAGGGTCCTGGGATCGAGTCCCACATCGGGCTCCCTGCTCCTTGGGAGCCTGCTTCTCCCCCTGCCTCTCTCTCTCTCTGTCTCTCATGAATAAATAAATAAAATCTTAAAAAAAAAAAAGTTACTACTCTTTGCTAAGATGCCCTACAGACTCGCTCAAGTTCCAGCCACGCAACACTGAGTGCGCCCAGGTGCCCTCCCCGCCCATGTGCAACTAACTTCTGGTGGTTAAGCTGTCTTTTGTTCGTCTAATTTACACAGCCCCAGCCCATGAACCTAGGATGGGATGAGCAAAGTATTTCTTTCCTCCGCTGCAGGGTTTTATGGCGGTCTGAATCAGAGTTAGCTTGAGAAGCCCCGGACTTCCCTCCCGGATGTGAGAAGGGAGGAGAGAAGCCTACCAAAAGCACAGAACTCTTAAGAACACACTGGAGCTACAGAACTGTACATTTCAAAGGGCTGAAATGGCCAGTTTTATGTTTTGTATAGTTTACCACAATTTTTTTGAAAAGAAAAAAAATCGGCCCCCTCCCTCCGTCTGAACTTATAGATGGAGAAACAGGCCCAGTGTCAGATAAGGAGAAGCCAAAGCAGCTGCTGGGTCCCCATGCTCCCAGCAGCTCTAGCCACTGATGGGTGTCACTTAGGGGAAGGCGCTTGGCACCGAGGTGCTCCGATGCCCCACATCTGAAGAATGACAGTAAGAGCAGGACAAACTGGGAACCGGTAAGGAAGGGAGGCGTTCTACCATCAAGGGCGGGAAACATTCTCTAAGCCCTCTGGGAAGCAAGGACATGGGCCAGACCCCCGCCACCCCTTACACACCCCGGGCGGCCACCAAGTCCCCTTCCCTCTCAGGCGAAGAAGCAACCCCTCCAGGCACCCACGACTGTCGCCCCCCGCCCCCTCCCCGGGCTGGCACTGCGACCCTGGGGCCGAGGGTGGGTGGCCACCAAGGGGTCTGGGTTTCTTGTCCCCAAGCCCTCGAGGGGAGCGGGGAAGTCAGAAAACCAAAGATTTCCAAAGCGGTTCCCGAACTCCAGCGGGCACCAGAGTCGCCTGGTGGGGGCGGCGGGGACCGCGAGCACCTTAGCGCAGCCCGGAGCTCGGACTCCGAGGGCCGGCGACCTCCCTAGCAGAGCCCCCGGGCTCCGGGAAACCCAGAGCCCCGCCGCAGAGGGACGGGGACGGGGGTCGGGCCCCCGAGTCCTCCTGCGAGGTGGCCGGCGCCTCAGCTGTCCGCGGTGGGACAGGAGACTTGGCCACCGGGCGGGTAGAGACCAACGGGGGCAGAGGCGGACGGACGGGCGACGGGGGAGATGGAAGGACGGGGGGACGGGAAGGGGGGTACGGAGGATGGACGGGGAGGGTACGGAAGAGGGGGGACGGGGAGAAGGGGGAGGGGGTGAGGGGACGGGGAGACGGAGATGTAGGGACGGGGTTGGGGGGACACTGGATGGTCGGGAGTAGGGACACAGGACGGGGAGACTGGGAATCGGGGTGGGGGGGATGGAGAATGGACGGGAGGGACGGAGGAGGGGGAGACGGGGAGAAGGGGGAGGGGGTGAGGGGACGGGGAGACGGAGATGTAGGGACGGGGTTGGGGGGACACTGGATGGTCGGGAGTAGGGACACAGGACGGGGAGACTGGGAATCGGGGTGGGGGGATGGAGAATGGACGGGAGCGACGGAGGAGGGGGAGACGGACGGGGGTGCGGCCGCCCCGGGAAACGGACGGCCAGGCCGGGCCCGCCCTACCTAGGGCCAGCATGTAGCCCTCGAAGTTGTCGCAGCTGAGCAGGTTCCAGGTGCCGCTGAGGTCGGCGGGCATGGCGGGGCAGGGCGACGGCGGCCGCGGGCGGCGGGGCCTGGGCTTATCTGCGGCCCGGGGGTGGGGGGTAGGGGGTGCGGGGGGAGGAGGCGGGCGGGGGCGGGACCGCGAGGTGACAGCCGCGCCCGGAGGAGCAGAGCCTGGACGCACCTGCTGGGAAACCCTCTGGGCTCCGGCCGCCCCGCGCGCAGCCACGCCTGCTTTCCTGCGCCTTCCTCCTCCTCCTCCTCCTCCTCTTGAGCTCTAAACCCTGGCTTCCCGGCCACACTTTTTTCTCTCTGCCTGCATGGTACTTTTTTTTTTTTTTTAAGATTTTATTTATTTATTTGAGAGAGAGAGAATGAGAGAGAGAGAGCACATGAGAGGGGGGAGGGTCAGAGGACGAAGCAGACTCCCTGCCGAGGAGGGAGCCCGATGCGGGACTCGATCCAGGGACTCCAGGATCATGACCTGAGCCGAAGGCAGTCGCTTAACCAACTGAGCCACCCAGGCACCCGCCTGCATGGTACTTATGACCAAGGGAATTCAAACGCATGGCATTAATTAGCGTCTCCGGTCAGGAAACCCAACTCTGGTGTTCTCAACATACTAGAGGTTGGTTTCTCTTACCTCTCTCAAGCAGTCCCGGGATGGGGGATGATTTGGCAACCCCCCAAGGTGGAAGTGGAGTCGCTGTGATTCTCCTGGCCTTTTATGCCTGCTGGTTCCCTCACCATCATGAACTGGCTGCTGGGCTTCCAGCCAGGACATCCGCGTTCCAGGTGAGAAGGAAGGGGGAAAGCACCACCTGTCATTATCCCGTCATTAGATTCCTGTTGACAGTCATTGGCCAAAGCTGTGTCACTTGCCACTTTTTTTTTTTTTAAGATTTTATTTATTTATTCGACAGAGAGAGACACAGCAAGAGAGGGGACACAAGCAGGGGGAGTGGGAGAGGGAGAACCGGACTCCCTGCTGAGCAAGGAGCCCGATGCGGGGCTCGATCCCAGGACCCGGGGATCATGACGTGAGCCGAAGGCAGATGCTTAACGACTGAGCCACCCAGGCGCCCTGTCACATGCCACTTCTAACTGCAAGGGAGCCTGAGGAATCTCCCATCTCCTCTTCAGTCTTGGCAGTAGAGAAAGGCAACCGAGAAGAGGGCTGGGAATGGAGGCTACCCTACAGTATTAGTCACAAACACCATCCATATAGGCTGGCTGCAAAAGTTAGTCTATTTCTGACCTCACCCATGAGCTCCAGACTCAAATATATATTTATATTTAATATATACATTAAATACAAAGATTTACATTTATATATATTTCAAAATATTTATTTATCTTTATATTATATATTAAATATAAATCTTTAAATATATACTTGTATATTAAAGATTTTATTTTTTATTTTTTTATTATTTTATTTTAAGTAGGCTCCACACCCAATGTGGGGCTTGAACTCACAACCCTGAGATTAAGATTTGCATAGTCTACCAACTGAGCCAGTCAGGTGCCCCAAGATTTTATTTTTAAGTTCTCTACACTGAATGGGGGCTCGAACTTAACAACCTGGAGATCAGGAATCGCATGCTCTACCAACTGAGCAAGCCAGGCGCTGCAGACTCAAATATATTAATAGTTAACATTTATTGAGTGCTTACTGTGTATATTATCATTCGTCACAAAATCCTACTTCTCCAATAGTTACGTTATTAGGCCCATTTGACAGAGACAAAAACTGAGACAAAGAGAGGTTATACAGTTGGTGGGAGAGTCTGGATGCAAACCCAGGCAGCCTGACTTCTGAGCTCCTTTGCCACCTCTCACTGCCTGCTTGGTGTCTCCACTTGGATGTCTGAAATACATCTAAAACTGAACACATCCAGGACGGCACGCAATAGTTATTCTTCACTTTCCTTGTCTCCATAAACCACATGACTGGTTTACCAGTCACCTGGTTGCTCAAGCCAAAAACCCAGTAGATACTGTGGATTTCTCTCTTCTCTGATCATCCATTTCCAATCTGTCAGCAAGTCCTGGACCTAACCTAAGCTGCCATCATGTCTTGCCTCCTCCCTGGACTTGCTGCTTCCCCTCTGATCCCACCAAACCATTCTCCACACTGTAGCCAGGAGGGCAAGCTTTTGAGAAAAGTAATTCGGATCTTTTCACTCCTCTACTTAAAACTCTTAGGTGTTGTCCTATTTTTCTTAAAAGGAAATTTGCACTCTCTCCTATGGTTTATAAAGCTCTTCCTGATTTGGCTTCTGGATACTTCTCCAACAGTATTACATTCTGTCTTCCCCAACTCAGGAACTCCAATCACAGCAGTTTTGTTTCCTTCTTCAGGGTCTTTGTATACAGTGTTCCCTCTTCCTGGGATGTTTTTCTCTGGTTTTTGCATGGTTAGCTCCTTTGACTTCCAGTTCAAAAGTCACAATTAGGGGAACAGTCTTTTCTAATCATGCTCTTCATGGAGAGAAATTTCCCCTAAACACCCTGGCTTCTTTCCAAACCTACTTCTTTCTCGTGGAAGTGGAATGAGTTCTCTGCTTGGAGTCAGCAAGGGTGACCACCCACCCTGGTTTCCCCAGGACTGAAGGAATGCCCAACACATGGGACTCTCACTGCTCCAGGTGGAAAAGTTCCAGGAAAACCTAGAATGTGTTGCTTGCCTTAGGCACACAGCTACTGAACCATTTTTCTCTACTGTAAGGTAGAGTTAATCTATCAAACATTCTAAATGCAGGGTATTTCCACTTTTTCCTTCTCCCCTTTTGACACAGATTCGAGAGTGTATTTGTTTTACAGATCCAAACTTTCCCTCTGGTTGACTGTTCCAAAGTCTAGTCTAGGGGAGTTAGTATATAAGCTATTATTGCTCCCCCCAATTTAATGGCTTAAAAATAACAAAAATCATTAATTTCCTCTTAAATCTGCAATTTGAGCATGGCTCGCGGGGGAAGGCTCATCCCAGCTCCATGTAGTATTAGCAGGGGTACCCCGACCCTACATTGGCAGGGTAGAAGACATTTCCAAAATGGCTCATTCTCACCATTGGCAAATTAGTGCGGGCTGTCTTATCTTGGAGCCTAGCCAGGGCTGTGGGCCAGAAGCCAGGTTCCTATCCATGGGGGCCTGTCCATGGGCTGCTTGGGCTCCCTCACAGCATGGGGGGTTGGGTTTTGAGAAGGAGCATTCCAAGAGAACCAGTAAGATGCCGTACTGTCTTCTATGCCCTAGTCTCCGAAGTCACATAACGTCATTTCCGCTGGAGTCACACGCCTACCCAAATCCAAAGGGAGGGAACTTGGACCTCATTTCTCAATGTCACATTGTAAGAAGAGCAAGTGGGATGGGAGGTCTCATAACAGCCATCTTGGAAAACACATAATCTGTCACGGTTACCTAATTCCGCTTTGAGCCTCACAGCAGGCTTCAACTTTGAACGTTTATCAGACTTTCTCAGTTGTAAAGATGCTATTTTCTGGGTGCCTGTGGGCTCAGTCCATGAAGCATATGACTCTTGATCTTAGGGTCATGAGTTTGATCCCACCTTGGGTGTAGAGATTACTTTAAAAAAATTTTTTTAAATGCTCTTTTCATTCATTTGTTGTTTTTTTTTCATTTTATTTTTCAGTTGGTTTAGAACGTGGACAAAAAAATACTTGACTCTCTTTAATAATCTCTGAGTCACCTTTTTAGGACAGTCTTCGGATACATTTCTCATATCTATTTACTCTGCATCACATCTCTACTTCCTTATAATTATAATCCACAATTATCTTTTTTTGGTTTGTTTCTTGGACTCCCTTTTTCATTAAAATTTTAAGGGCAGAGACCACGTTCATCTCATTTGCCTCTACAGCATCTCCAGGGCCTAGCACGGTACCTGGCAAGTGTTCCATAAATGTTTGTTGAATGAATGGCTACAGCCTTTTCCAAAGGAGAAATGCCATTTTTACTGAGAAACGAGAGTGGCCCACCCAGAATGAGACTGTTGATTCTCCTAACTATAAGACATTGATTCCTTTGGTGGAATATGACAGGCTGATATCAAATCCTGGATTAGCTATATCTTACCATTTAATGGGCAGAGAACGATGAACTCTGACCAGATTTCTGGAGCATGGAGCCTATTTAAATTCCAGAAAACTAAAGGAACAGGACATGGAAAAGTCACACTTACTTCCTACCTTTAACATCTTATTGTTCTAAATGCTGGCCTGAAAATGAAAGTCACAGAAATAACTAATAATAATTTTGGCATCTGTGCTGGTTGGTATGGCTTTTGGCTAGCTTGAGCACGGGCCATGTAGTATGGATAGAGCTGAATTTCAGTTGAAGTGGACATAGACTGAGCTTGGCCATGGGATAAAGAGTAATTTTCTCCTCCACAATTCTTGGATCTTTTTTCTAGACTAGGACCAAAAGTTATCTCTGGAAAGAGGGGTGACATTTATTTGGCCAATTTGAGCCCTTTCTTCCTCTCCATTTGATACTGGTAAAGTAAATCATAAGATTATAGCCAAGATGAGATCCTAAACCTGTGTACCAACTCTGCTCCTCCTTGACAGAAATGCATGGGAATGAATGAGGGGCACTTGGTAGTGGACTCACTCTTGTCTCACCTGGTGGAGTCTGGTACTGGTTGAGCAAAGAATGGCGTGGACACTGTGGACACTTCATGCCATCCATCCTTCCACCCCCTAAGGCAGAGAAGCATTGCCATCAAGGAGCTTGGTCCAGGTCTAGGAGTGAGATCTGGGTTAGTTTAAGACTAAGGCAATCACAGAAGGGCTACCTCCTTTGACAGTGATTGGTTTTAGGGACAAGCAAGTTTCAGTGAATTTGAATCAGCCAAGGATATATGGTAAGTTTGGTAGGCCTGTTGGGAAAGATGTTTCTTTGATTTTAACAAAGCCCCAGGGAGCCAGCCTTTCTCCCACTTTTGAACAAGAGCAGGGAAGCCTTGCTACAGTGACCATCCTAACTACTGAAGGAGCTCCAGACTCAGGACGCCGTGAGCTGCAGAGTGGGGGGATGGAAAGCCCCTGGGTCCCCAATGACACCACTGGTTCAGTTTGCGCACCTTGAATCC